AAAAGATATGATGTTCATTTTAGTTAGCATGTTTTGTTCATATAATTAAGCTATTTGATAAATATATATTATAACATGCATGTTTTTCAAGAAGCAAAATAATAATAATAATAATAATAATAATAATAAGTCATTATTTACAGTGACGTGAAGCATCATAAGCATGGCCACACATTTATCTAGAATTTTAGAAACAAAAAAGAGTTGATTTTTAGCTATAGATCTAGAGGTCTTGAGGTCTCAGGAATATCTAAGGCTTCCTCATTAATTTCATGCTGAAAATCTTTGGGTAATAGTTTTCAATTTAGGAATTTCATGAGTAGAAGTTGTTAATGTTACCAATAATTGAGGGAAGGCATCTTCCTCAAAAAACAATACAATGATTGTATCAATCTACTAAATTAAAGTAAAAACTAAGGAGTAATCAATATGAAATATTATTGTCACACCCCAAAACCAGGAGTGAAATAGACACTGTACAATTGTGAGAGGATCCCACAAATGTACAAGGCTTGGAAGTTATTAAATTCATAATTAACAATCCACATAAACTTAGATCAATATCTCAAAATAAAATCTAGCTTACAAAAAAATGATCTATATCTCCAAATCTATGTCCAAGAATACAAGTGGCTAGCCTAACTCCAAGATAATCTAAGTCTAAAATAAAAATGCCTAGCCTTTTAGCTTATCACTCCCCTTGGTTTCCCACGTCTCGGGTCTCATTATCTGAAATGGTGGACAAGGAAAAACTATGTGAAATAACTCAGTAAGTAAAAATATAGGTAGCCCTTATTTAAAATGTAAGCATGCCAAATAAACAATTTAAGACATACTATAAGGAAAAATATCTTGGTTATAAACCATCAATGCAGATTAAAACTCAATAGTGGTCTCTTCAATTAGTCATGGCCAGTGTTTAACAAACTCCCACTGGCAAGTGTCAGTAATAACCAGTGTACTATCCCACTGGCAAGAATACAGGATGAACCGGTCCTACATGTATACATGTTGACATATGCTAGCGTTTGCAAACTCCCATTGGTGGGCGTCAGTAATCATGACCATATTGGAGACAAAACCATACAAGATTTCAACAAGAAAACTCATCATTTACAAATATGCAAGAGTTAACAAGAAAATCTTAACTTACAATTCAATTTTAGATTTCTAGAAGAAGAAGTAAACTCCATGTAGGCATGCTCAACTTAATAAAAATAACAACATTTTAAATCAATCATGCTCATGTGCTAATAAAAATTCAGTTTAGGTCTTGCCATCATCTCAAAAACAGTTTAAAGTATGGTTTTAAAAAAAAAACCTTTACCTTAAAATCCAAGGGCATTTACCATAATCTTACTTACCTTGCCTTGTAAGTATACAACGAGCAAGTATTCAAGATCTTAGGTAGTGAAGAGGATTTAGAACCTATGCCACATCAAATGAATACTTAGAATATGCTTAAAATAGCTTCAAAAGGACACACGAAATAGCAGGTATCCCAAATAGATTTCTGGACAGAATATGGTGGAAAAATGGGAGAAACTAAGCTCAAAACCATCCTAGACACCAGCAGAAATATTGGGTAGTAAAGTGGGGGGTTTCTGCTATTTAAAGCAGTTCCAAAATACTTGGGAAAAGCCTTAAAAATTAGGGATTTTCTAGGTAAAAGATAGCCAAAATAAACCAATAACAAGGGGTTTTAAAGTAGAAAAACAGCAACTAAAGGTCTAATAAAACCATAATGAAATATGGCAATAGGTACAGTGGGAATAAAGTAGAAAATTGAGCAAATTTCTGATTGCTTTTGAGAGCAATTCTGGTCAGGTTTTTAATTGGATTGGATCAGTTTAAGTTAGATCAATCAGATTGGATCAAATATGAACACCCCTACAAGCCTCCATGCTACCAACACCTTGAAACTCCATAACCACTACCAGTGGCAACGCAAAATATAAAGAAATGGCATCATAAAGCTCCAAGCAACCACCAACTTTAAGTCTTCCATCGACCCTTATTATGCTGGACCTTAACAACTCCACCTTAGCAAAACAAGAAGAATTTAGAAGCCTTTCAAACAAAACTTATTATAGGTAAATGGGAAAAAAGCAACAAAGATAAAAGGGAGAAAAATATAAAGGAAATACTTGCGGAGGAGAGAAATCAAAAAGGAAAGCCTCACATAATTGGATGAAAGGACACCCTTACCCTAACTCCAAAGCAAGAGCTTTTAGAAAAAACTCTAGTCTAAGGCACTTTGAATTTTGATATCCTTTCTTTTTTAAATTTGTGATTTTTATTTTATATATTTAGGGATTTGATTTATTATTGATTACTAAAACTTTACTTAATTTGATTATTGAAATGCCCTTGTCCTAAGGTGTAAGATTTTATAAGTTTTTATCCTTAAATATTAATTTTGTTAAGGACATTAGGCGAAAAACCAAAATCTTCTTTGCTAAGGTTGCATGGTAATTTCAAGCAACTTTACTAGATTTGACTAGCTGACTTTAACAAGTAGTTGCTGAAAGATAATAAAAAAGAATATATCAAATAAAAGAACTAAGTTAGTAAAACCCATTAAAAATCCGCTAACTTTGTCTAGAAGTATGCAAAGGTTGCCATCAAATTGTAAATTTTAATTCTAACTCTTAAGTCTAAGTTAAATAATTATTAAAACTTACCTTACTATCGCCCTAAGTTAACAAAAACTCCTCTCAAAGCCTTCTTAAACTTGCTGTTGGTTCTGGGTTACAGAATCTCCTTCTTTCCTTGCTTTTCTAACATCTGGTACTAGAAAATTTAGGATTAAAAAATGATTGAGTTAAGTCATATTTTGAACCATATATATCACACAGCAAGTAAAGTTCAAAATGCAGATTTATAGACATGCAATGCTATTGTGTGAATAAAAGAAAGGAATTTCCTTTGTTGATTGTTTCTTCTTGTCTACACTTTTTGAAGTTTTATTGCAAGTTGATTTTCTAGTTGAAACTCTACAAGTTGAAATTTCACTACTAGAAATAGGGACTTCTTTGGTCAAGCATCTTGATTGAATAAGTAGGAATTTTGATTGAATAAGAAGTAATTCAATCAAATTGCTTGACCAAATTGTTGATCCAAATATCAACTATAAGAAATAATAATTCGAACAAAATTTCATCTTGATCGAAATGTTGGACAATTTTGGTGACCGAAAATGTTATTAAGAAATCTTTTATTTTAGACTAATTTAATCATTTGACTAAAAATGTTACTAGGAAATCTTCTATTTTATACTAATTCAATCCAAATATTTGACCAAAATATTATTTTTAAATTAAAAAATTTAATATATTTGTGTAATTATAGTACACATATAATTGCTTTATATATATAAAATTACAAAATACATTTAATTAATATTTAAAAATCTATTTATTTTGTCCAAATTGAAATATATCAAAATTTTAAATTGAATATTATGCAACATAAATCAAAATTCTATAAAAATATTTAAATTTAAGCTAAATGGTGGAGAGTTAATTACTAACCTCTTTTTTTTTTTTCATTTCAATTTCTCCATCCTTTAACACCAAGAAATAGTTAATCACAAATTACAAACTAAATGGAAAACTTAATGAAAAAGAAAAAATTATAAAATTTTAATGAAATATATATAAAAAAAATAAAAGCACCAAATGAGATGTTTCCTTAAAATGCCTTTAATTTCTATTATAAAATCTTGCAAAAATATAAATTTGATATCAATATTAGTTGAAACAAACTTGTAAGTTGTAAAAGAAATAAACTAATAAGATTAAAATTAAAGGAAGAAAGAAAATGAGAGAAATTAAAGGAATGTATGAGGAAAAAAGAATGTGAGAAAATGGAAGAGAGGACAAGGGGAATGAATGAAAGAAGAGGGAAAGTGAAGAAAAAGAGAAGCTCAGAAAAGGAAGAAATGAAAGAAAATGATGGAAGTAAAGAGAAATGAGGAGGGGAAGTAATTAAAAGGAAGAGAAAGATGAGTGTGGAAGGCAAAATAAAGGGAAAAATAGAAAGAAGGAAGAAGGAAATGGGTAAAATACAGTTTAAAGTACTTGAAGTGTTTTCATAGAGTTTAGATTATTTCGATCAAGAATTTTAACCAAAATAGTTTTGATAGAAAATTCAAGACATTTCACATGATTTTAGAGCAAAAAATTTATAATTTCGGATAATAGTTTTGACCAGAATAGTTTTGGCAGACAATTCAAAATGATTCACTTGATTTGTAGAGTCAAAACATCTAATTTCGGATAAAAATTTTGACCGATATAATTTTTTGCAAAAAATTCAAGAAATTTCACTTAATTCTTGGAGCCAAACAATATAATTTTGATCAAGCATCTTATTTAAAGTAATTTCATAGAAGATTAAAAAAAATTGGGAAACAAAGCGCCATATTAATATAATTAAAAAAAATAGAGATAGTTATTTCGATCAAGATGCTTGACCAAAATAGTTTCATAAAAAAAGAAAAGAGGGAAAGAAAGTGCCATGCTGATACAAATAAAAAAAAAAAAAGAGGACGAAGATAGTTATTTCAGTCAAGATGCTTGACCAAAATAGTTTCATAGAAAATTAAAAAAATTTAGGAAAAAAAGCATTGTATTAATAATATTCAAAAAAGGGAGACAATTATTTCTGTCAAAATTTTTTACCGAAAAACATAATTAAATTAAAACAAAAATTGTTTTATTAATTCAGTCATAATTTATAATCAAAATACATAGTATTTTATTATTAATGTAATTCGGATAAAATATTTGACCAAATTAATAATGGCACCAACTAGCGCTGTAATATCCCAAATTTTTTGAAATTCTAGTATTTAAGTTAAAGACCTTTGTGTGAGAAAATTTTATTTTGGGGCCTAATAGTGAAAATATCCAAACTTGAGGGACTTAAAAGAGAAAAAGATTTGGATAAGGATCAGCTATTTTTTTCCTTCTTTCTTCTTCCTCACCCGCGCGTCTGCTCTTCCTTTTTTCTCCCCTGCAGCCGAACAAGAAGCAAGCTTTCGACAGCCCTCCCTTGAAGAAAAATCGGTAAAAGCTTGGTATTTTTCTCCTTCTTTTCTTGTTCTAGGACTGGAATTGAACCCAGAATTCTTCCCCCTACAGAGAAAATCCTAGATCTGCTCTAATCCTTCCTCCCGTCCGTCTGCTGCTCCTACTTTGTGGGGGCAAATTGCTTTGGTTTTTGGTAAGAAGTAGCCCGAAATCCTTCTTTTCTCACTTGAATTGGCTTGGGTTTACCTTAATTTCTCTTGGTTTCCCAATTTCCAGTAGATTTCTTGATTTTTTTCTCCCCAATTCCCGCTGGCTTCCTTTAGCTTGGAGCTCCGGTTTTGCTGGGAAATTTCTGGTATGTTGACAGCTCTTCCAAGCCCAAAATTTCATCAATTAGTTGCTGAATTTTGTCCATTTATTTGTTGCCTTGTGTGTCCAAAAATCTGCTGGAAGAGGGAAGAATTTCGGCAGCAATAGGTTGCCTTTTTTTTAGTTTAATTTATGTAGAATTTCCTTGAGTTGGTTCCTGTGATTTTGGAGGAAAATCCCGAGTGTTTTAGCCCCTGTTTTTGCCAAGCCGTGCTCTTCCCTTTTGCCGTGGGATTGGGAAACCAAATTGGTGAAATTTGGCTTTAAAACCTCTTGTTTAAGAGATTTTTGGATATTATGATTTTATTTGAAAATATTTGGACTTTGGGTAGATATACGGTTTTGAATAAAAGTGAATTATATTATGGTTGAATTTCGTGTGAAGCTCATTGGTTAGGAAATTTGCGAGATTGTGCTTGGAATATTAGGTGCTGTTATGGCTTAGAACACTGGGATTGAGTCTTCCGTATTACGGATTTGAGGTAAGGAAATTATGGTAATGCCCTTTGATTTTAAAGCACATTTTAGTTTGTTTTTGAAGTGGTGGCGGGACTAAACCCGTTTTACATAAGTATGACCGATTTGAAATGAAATTATTATTCTTTTTATTTATTTGAGCATGCCTACTTGGAAATTATTTAACTGCCCTGATGATCTGGAAATTATCTGTAAAGTATGATTTTCTGTTAACTTCTGCCTGTTTTGTCTCCGATATGGTCATGTTATTCGTGTGCCCGCTAGTGGGAGGTTTATAAACGCTAGCACATGTCGACATGTTACTGATAGAACCGGTTCATTTCTGTTATCTTGCTAGTGGGATTATACACTAATAAATCGTATGCCTGTCAGTGGGAGGTTTATAACACTAGCCATGACCTATAGAGGAGACATCTATTTCATTTCCGTACTCGTACCTGTTTTTCGTAATTATACCGGTTAGCATGCTATAAGTTTAATTAAGGGCTATCCATATTTACTTACTGAGTTATCTCATAGTTTTTCCTTGTCCACCATTTTAGGAAGCGAAGTCAAGGACGAGGAAAAACGAGGGGAGTGATGAGTTAAAAGGCTAGCCACCTGTAATTTGATATAGATTTAGATATAGATCATGATCTTGTAAGCTAGATTTTAATTGGAGATTTTATAAATTCATTTAATGGATTGTTAATTTACAAGAGATTTGACCTTGAGATTTTGAGCTTAAGTCATGTTGGACATAGAATTATTTTGAAATATCTTATTTAAGTTATTGGATTGTCAGATGTGAATTGAATAAGTTTCGAGCCTTGTGCATTTGTGAGACCCTCTCACAAGTGCACGGCGTCTACCACGTCCTCGGATTTGGGTTTTGGGGCATGACAAATTGAGTGGTATCAGAGCTTAGGTTGAAATTAAGAGCTTAGGTTGAAATTAAGAGCTTAGGATTAAATTAAGTACCTCCAGATTTAGTGGTATCAGAGCTTAGGTTTAAATTAAGAGCTTAGGATTAAATTAAGCACCTCCAGATTGAGTGATATCAGAGCTTAGATTTAATTAAAAACCTAGGTTTAATCGAATACCTAGGATTTGTTTAGAACTTGGCTGGCCAATGGATTTTAGAACCGTGGTGAGACGAGTGATGGGATTATATAAGGGACAATTCTGATTCATGTTGCCTGAATTTTCTAATCCATTTTGACGAGATGGCAATCTGATTGTTCTTGTTTCCTGCCTTCATGCCCTGTGTAGATTCATGAAATTAATCTTGTCTGCCATGTTCGTAAGACCTTGTTTTGAAACTTGGTCATTTTCTAATAGTCTGCACTTGTTTAGACTTGTTACTTGAATAGAATTTTTTATGCTCTTTTGCCACAATTGTAAAATCTGGGGAGTTGCAGAGATCTTTTGTTATTGATCCTGTTGGTTTCTAAAGCATAACTGGTTGAGAAATTGTTCTGTTTGTCACATGACCAGTGGAAGATGGGCAAACCCTCTACTTTGTAAGAGATTCAAGGTTATTTTAGCAAATGTTGTGTGTTTTCTAGATGTGTTTTAGGAGCTGGATAACTTGGTAATTTCGTTGCTCATTATCTTTCTGAAAGTCTATATAGTGAAATTTCACTTTTTCCATTTGGAGCTTCATGGCCTTTTCATGTGGCTCATTTTTCTATATTGGTTAATCAAAAACAGTGATCATTCAATTGAAATTGCCTTGTTTTTGTGAAGATTGGCAAGTTGTCATAAGGTTAAACTCTCTATTGTTGCTAATCTCTACGTTCTTGATACTTGGAAACTGCTTAAAACTCTTGAAATCCATCTTGAATCTTTCTTGAGATTGCTTTGTACTTGTTTTTGAAACTAAAATTCAAAGGAAATGGATAATGATTATTGAAATCCTCATTATCTTGATACTTTTCTGAAATTAATTCTTGCATTGTTCTTGGAATCTATTTTGAATTGTCCTTGAAACCCATTCTTGTAATATCCCAAATTTTTGGGAATTTTATTAATTAAGGAAGGGACTTATTTGAGGAAAAATATTGTTTTGGGGCTTAATAGTCAAATTTTTCAAAGTTGAGGGACTAAAAAGAAAGGAAATTAAGATAAGGATGGCTGAGTTTTTCTTCTTTCTTTCTTTCTTCTTCCTTATCCGCGCATCTGCTCTTCTTTTCTTCTCCCCTGCACCCGACCAGCCCCCCCTCCAAGCCGCCGGCACCAGCCTTGGGAAATCGGTGAGCTTGATGAAATTTCTCTTCTTTTCTTGTTAAATCACAAGATTTGGGGCTTAGAATCTTCCCTCTCAACCCAGAAAATCCCAGTTCTACTCTGCTCTGCTCTTTCTCCCGTCCGTCGGTTCTGCTGGGTGTGAATCCTTCGACTTTTCGGGTAAGCCACAGCCATGAAATTCATCCTCTCTCTCTCTTAAATTGGCTTGGGTTACTCTAATTTTCTTGTTGGTTCTTGAATTTTTGGAGTTTTGCCATGAGTTTCCCCCCAGGATTTCCGTCGGCTTCCTCACCAGCCAAGCTCGGTTTCTGCTGGCTGGAATTCTGGTAAGTTGCCGGCTTTTCCAAGCCTAAAATTACCCATTTAATTGCTGGGTTTTGTCCATTAAGTGCTGCCCTGTGTTTGCGCGAATTTTGCAAAAATGGGGGAGGAATTCCGGTAGCATTTAGCAGCCCTTTAAATGTGTTTTGTTGTTTAAATTATGTAGAATTTAGCTTGAATTGGCTGCTGTGATGTTTTGTGTGAAAATCCCGTGTGTGTGAGTTGTGGGTTGCCAAGGTCATGCCTTCCATGTGCTGCCCGTGAGGTTGGGGAAATTTTGGTAGCTTTAAGCTATGTTTTTAATTGTGGTTTAAGTAGAAAATTAGCTTATTTGAGAAACCCTGTGAATTAGCTATGTTATGCCAATTTTGGGAGTTGAAGTACTGTTCACGAGGTACTGTTCACGAGCACTGATCACACACCGAGGGTCAACGATTAACGGGGATTTAAATGTTTAGTTTGTGATATAAGAATAAATTTGGAGATGTCCGGTCATGTGCAAATTGATAGAAATAGCACCGTGATTAGGGGTAGTGCTAAAGATGATTTCACTGTGAATTTGTGGTGGTGCGGTATTAACTTTGGAATATTGTGATTAGGTTTTGATCGCTCTATCGGTTTAGCACTGAAATCGAGTCTTCGGTTTTGTGCGAGGTAAGTAAATTATGGTAAAACCCTTCAATTTTAAAGCATGTTTTAAATTGTTTTTTAGATGGTAACAAGGTTTAAATTGATTTTATCAGCATTTGAGTGTGATTAAATTGAAATGAAAATCGTGATGATTTTTATGAGAATTTCGTTGTTTTTCGGGAATTGAGCATGATTGGAATGAAAATGAGGATTTCATTGTTTTTTTGGAATTGAGCATGATTGGAATGAAAGTGGGAATTTCATTGTTTTTCTGGAATTGAACATGATTGGAATGAAAATGAGAGTTTCATTGTTTTTCTGGAGTTGAGCATGCCCACGTGAAATTGTTTTTCACTTGCATTGAGTAGAACATGCTTATTTGGAATTTACTGAACTGTTTTGATGAACTGAGAGTTTTGTAAATTCTGAGTTTTTCTGTTAAATCCATGCTCACATGGAAATTTTTTGGTTTATTTCTGAAATTTAAGATTTATTGTGAATTACGGATTTTTCTGGAAATCTTGCATGGTTTTGTCTCGGATATAGTCATGATTACTGTGCTCGCTAGTGGGAGGTTTATAAACGCTAGCACATGTCGACATGTATTTCTGTAGAACCGGTTCATCCTGCCAATGGGATAATACATTGATAATTACTGACGCTTGCCAGTGGGAGTTGTTAAACACTAGTAATACTGACACCTGCCAATGGGCGAATACATTGGTAATTACTGACGCTTGCCAGTGGGAGTTGTAAACACTGGTACCATTACTGTCGCCTGCTAGTGGGAGTTGTTAAACACTGGTACTACTATTGTGCCCGCCAGTGGGAGATTTATAAACGCTGGCCATGACTTATAAATGAGACTACTAAATTGAATTTTCTTCTGCATTAACAGTTTGTCATGAAACATTTTGTTACTGAACTGAATCTGAGTCTGTTTTAACGGTTTATCATTGAAAGTTATGTTATGCTTACATGGTTTATCTGGCATGCTTAAAAGTTTTACCCAAGGGCTATCCATATTTACTTGCTGAGATATTTTATCTCACCTAGTTTTCTTTGTCCACCATTTCAGGAAGCGAAACTAAGGACGGGGAAACCAAGGGGAGTGACGAGTTAGAAGGCTAGCCATCTTGTAAATTGAACATGGAGTTTAGATATAAAGGATGATCTTGTAAACTAGAGTTTAATCGGAGATTTTATACATTCATTTAATGGATTGTTAGTTTACCAAAGATTTGACCTTAAGGTTTTGAGTTTAAGTCATGTTGGACATAGAATAAATTTTGAAATATCCGATCTAAGTTATTGGATTGTCAGACATGAATTAGATAAGTTCCGAGCCTTGTGCATTCATGGGACCCGTTCACGAGTGCACGACGTCTGTCGCGCCTCGAATTCGGGTTTTGGGGCGTGACAATTCTTGTCTTGACCCTTGCTCTTACTCAAATTCTGTATATTGCTCTTGCTCAAATCCTGCATATTATGCTAGTTCTTGTTTTAGTATACCTGTTGATCTTCTTGATTTTTGATTTTGTTCATATGGACACCTTCTTAGGAGGGGTGATTATTAGAAAATGCCTATATGAGGCATCATAATCCTTGTCTCTTGCAAGTGTTAATCTCTGTATTCTTGATGTCTTAGCTTTGACTTGACTTTAGGATGTCTAGGATGACTTGATTATAAATCTGCTTAGCCTCCATGGGCTATGAGGTGAAGGGGTAGTCTTTAAAGTACTTGATGCCCTAGAGTTTTGTTCCAAGAGAAATGGTTCTTTTATCTGGTTGCTTTGATTTTTGTTTGCCCTTTTAAGTAGAAGATAGTAATCTTCTAAGTATCATGATCCCCACTATTGATTATTCTGTTAATTAATTCATGTTGCTTGGGGTGCTAGATCTTGACATCCTAGTTATATCTGCTTTTGAATTCGTGTTTTGGTTATCATTACTGAAATCTCTTTTGTGAGTCTAATCCTTGAATTTTATTGCTTGTTTCATGGTTAACCTTGTTTTGTGGCAAAATCTATAAGGCATCCATGCACTCGTTCATTTATTCATGATCCATATATCCATTGGATGCTTATTCGTCTTTGATAGAGTTCAAAGTTTGGTTGTACTCGTCTTTAAATCCATGTCATTCTTTACCAACTCGTCTTGTGTTGGGTTCATAGCGTAACCCCACAACTTTTCTTTTGTAGCCTTGGTAGGATTTATTTTTATTCTTTGTGCTTCCCATGTCACCCCAGCCTCCAGTAGCTTGTTTTATGGTAAATCCTATTGAGTAGTTAATGTTCTACTTTTATGATTAGTTGTGGTTTGATATCAGAGTGGCATAATGGAAGCATAGTAGGCCATGTTTTGTTCATAAAGAGTTGTTAAGGCATTTGTTTCATCTGGGATTGTGTGAAATCATTCACCAGTCTAGATGATCCTCAATTTGAGTTTTAGGGACAAAACTCCTTTTTAGGAGGGGTGAATGTAATATCCCAAATTTTTTGAAATTCTAGCATTTAAGTTAAGGACTTTTGTGTGAGAAAATGTTATTTTGGGTCCTAATAGTGAAAATATCTAAACTTGAGGAACTTAAAAGAGAAAAGGATTTGGATAAGGATCAGCTATTTTTTTTCCTTCTTTCTTCTTCCTCACCCGCGCATCTGCTTTTCTTTTTTTCTCCCCTGCAGCCGAACAAGAAGCAAGCTGCCGACAGCCCTCCCTTGAAGAAAAATCGTTAAAAGCTTGGTATTTTTCTCCTTCTTTTCTTGTTCTAGGACTAGAATTGAACCCAGAATTCTTCCCCCTACAGAGAAAATCCCAAATCTGCTCTGCTCCTTCCTCCCATCCGTCTGCTGCTCCTGCTTTGTGGGGGCGAATTGCTTTGGTTTTTGGTAAGAAGCAGCCTGAAATCCCTCTTTTCTCACTTGAATTGGCTTGGGTTTACCTTAATTTCTCTTGGTTTCCCAATTTCCAGTAGATTTCTTGATTTTTTTCTCCCCAATTCCCGCCGGCTTCCCCTAGCTTGGAGCTCCGGTTTTGCTGGGAAAATTCTGGTATGTTGACAGCTCCTCCAAGCCCAAAATTTCATCAATTAGTTGCTGAATTTTGTCCATTTATTTGCTGCCTTGTGTGTCCGAAAATCTGCTGGAAGAGGGAAGAATTTCGGCAGCAATAGGTTGCGTTTTTTTTAGTTTAATTTATGTAGAATTTCCTTGAGTTGGTTGCTGTGATTTTGGAGAAAAATCCCGAGTGTTTTAGCCCCCGTTTTTGCCAAAGCCGTGCTCTTCCCTTTTGCCGTGGGATTGGGAAACCAAATTGGTGAAATTTGGCTTTAAAACCTCTTGTTTAAGAGATTTTTGGATATTATGATTTTATTTGAAAATATTTGGACTTTGGGTAGATATACGGTTTTGAATAAAAGTGAATTATATTATGGTTGAATTTCGTGTGAAGCTCATTGGTTAGGAAATTTGCGAGATTGTGCTAATACTTCTAGTAAAGTCTGAATGTAGTAAAGTCTGAATGTATTTATTTGGAATATTAGGTGCTGTTATGGCTTAGAACACTGGGATTGAGTCTTCGGTATTACGGATTTGAGGTAAGGAAATTATGGTAATGCCCTTTGATTTTAAAGCACATTTTAGTTTGTTTTTGAAGTGGTGGCGGGACTAAACCCGTTTTACATAAGTATGACCGATTTGAAATGAAATTATTATTCTTTTTATTTATTTGAGCATGCCTGCTTGGAAATTATTTAACTACCCTGATGATCTGGAAATTATTTGTAAAGTATGATTTTCTGTTAACTTCTGCCTGTTTTGTCTCCGATATGGTCATGTTATTTGTGTGCCCGCTAGTGGGAGGTTTATAAACGCTAGCACATGTCGACATGTTACTGATAGAATCGGTTCGTTTCTGTTATCCTGCTAGTGGGATTATACACTAATAAATCGTATGCCTGTCAGTGGGAGGTTTATAACACTAGCCATGACCTATAGAGGAGACATCTATTTCATTTCCGTACTCGTACCTGTTTTTCGTAATTATACCGGTTAGCATGCTATAAGTTTAATTAAGGGCTATCCATATTTACTTACTGAGTTATCTCATAGTTTTTCCTTGTCCATCATTTCAGGAAGCGAAGTCAAGGACGGGGAAAAACGAGGGGAGTGACGAGTTAAAAGGCTAGCCACCTGTAATTTGATATAGATTTAGATATAGATCATGATCTTGTAAGCTAGATTTTAATTGGAGATTTTATAAATTCATTTAATAGATTGTTAGTTTACAAGAGATTTGACCTTTAGATTTTGAGCTTAAGTCATGTTGAACATAGAATTATTTTGAAATATATGATTTAAGTTATTGGATTGTCAGATGTGAATTGGATAAGTTTCGAGCTTTGTGCATTTGTGGGATCCTCTCACGAGTGCACAGCGTCTGCCACGTCTCCGAATTTGGGTTCTGGGGCGTGACAGGCACTCTTTTATTTCAGTCAAAATGCTTGACCAAATTAAATTTTTTTGTCAAAACATTGTCTTCTCCAAAATATTTTGTCTGAAATAAAGCTTTTTCTAGTAGTGTTTATAATAGTTTTGTTAGCTACTTGGCTCTTTAATCTTACTTGTGCAAGTGATGAACATTCAACTAATATGAAATACATATGCATTACATGAGATGAAAATGCATCAATTGACATGCTGCATAGAATCTGTGGTATGATACCTAAGCTAATGGCTAGGTAAGATACTCCTAAAGTTACTTAGGGTAAATAATGATGATACTCCTAAAGTTACCTGGAGTAAAAGAATGATGATGCTTCTACCGTATCTGGAGTAAGGAAAACATATATCTAAAATGATATCTAAGCTACTAAGCAAGGTAAGAACCCCTAAAGAACCTAGAGTAAGGAAAGAAAGATATCTACATCTACTATGCAATAGGAAGAACCATGGCTAGTCCATTGGTATGTGGGATGTAAAACCATAAAGAAAAATCCATAGATAAGAACATACATCCATGTGAATATTTTGACAAGCATAGAATTATCTTGCTGCTTTGTTTTTCTTATGAATCATAAGTGATGATTTTCATGGAGGGAAATATCTTATTTAACTATTCAATGCTAGTGAACAGAACTTGTTTCAACTTAGCATCAAAAATTGGTTTAATTACTTTCTAAGTTGTGGATATTAAGTTAAATATTTTATTAGACTTACTAGGTTTTATAGTTTATGGAATTATTATTTCCTTGTGGTTATAGGTAGAAATTAATTAAAGGAAGCATAAACATTTTGGGAGCCTAGGAAGCATCTATTAATCCAAGTACAGGCCTAGAGCCAACCTTGGTAAGACAAATTTGAATGCTGCCCAAAGCCTAGACTTGGTTTGCTACTTTGCTCTTAAAAGCTATGTACTATATGTAAAAAAAAATTCAAGTGCTGCTGTAAGGAAACTATGTGTTTTTGTACCATGCAATTTGTACATAGAAGTATATTCGCATGTAAATGATATAAGTACTAGACTCTTTCCTTTTGTTTATCATAATCTCATTGTCCAAGTCCTATATGTTTTCTACTTGTATATATATATATATATATTTAAGCCACAAACTCATTTATGTTTTGCCATGGAAATTCCTATGATCTGCAACTTCTTAATGTGGGGAAAAATTTTAATGAAATGAATAATGTATTTCCAACATAACCCTAAAGAATTTATTTGTACTGGGATACAACAATTATAGTTTTTAATTTTTTTATTTTATAAATTGTGCACTCTAAGTAAAAAAAAATGTCTACTGACACGTGTTTTGAATATATTATTATAATTACTAAAAAATAAAAATAAAAATAGTTTTAATATTATTAAACAAATAAATATTTTTAGTTGTCAATTTTAAATTTTATTTTAATCAAATTTTTAATTTTTAATTTTTAGTTTTGATTTTCTTGTAAAATTTATAAAAACTAAAATCTTATTCTATTATAAAATTTTTAAAATCATCAATAAATCTCATATAAATGTCTAAGAGGCCTTTAAAAATCTTTAATAGATCCTTTTAAAATAATCATAAAATCTCAAATAAATATCTAACAGGTTTCCCTTGAAAGTTTAAAGTTCAACTCAAATTTAAGAGTCTAATATTCTAATTCAAATAGTATATTATTACTCACATTCAATTCAACTTCTAATTAAATTTGGACTCAAACTTTATTAATTATCTTTTACTATATTATAAAAAAATTGTTAATATGAACTCAATTATATTTTTAACAAGGATTACTCCATACGCCTTTTCAATATTATATTTTTAATAATAGAGAACAAGCTCAATAGAAATTTTAATCATCTTATGAACTTATTATCTTATCTTACCATATTATAAAAATTGTTAAAATATTTAACAAATCTAGAATAAATACCAAATGAGTCTTTTAAAATTTTTAATAAATATTCAATAAATACTTAATAGACTTTTTAAAATCTTAAATAAATATTAAAAATACAGCAAATGACTTTTAAAATCCAAACTCAATTGCGTTTTACCATATTATAAAAATTGTTAAAATCTTCAATAAATCTAGAATAAAAACCTAATTAATCTTTTAAAATATTCAATAAATATTGAATAAATAATCAATGAATCTTTTAAAATTTAAATAAATATTCAATGAGCTTTTTAAAATTCCTCTAAATTATTAAATAAGTACCCAATTTGACTTTTAAAACCTTCAATAAATAATTATAAATGTAATTATAATTTTAATTATCAAGATCTCAATTTAATTTTACAAATTAATCTACCAGAAAAAAAAAAAAAAACACAAACCCAATAACTTTCCCTTCTACATTTCAATTCCAAATAAGTTCACCAACTTTAATTATATAAATATAATAGTTCACATTCAAATTCAATTATATGTTACTGTATTATAATAAGGGATTAGTGTTACTATATTATTCCTTCATAGGGATTAGTGTTTATTCGTCTTACCTCCTAAAGATTAGAATGAAAATTATTCAAAAACTATGTAATTTTAATAAAAGTATTACATGGAAGGACAAAAAACACTCTGATTCATAGTTTAAAAATAGGATATGTTAGTTTTTTTTAATGGAGATTTATTGAAACGACGTAGTTTTAAAATTATTTTCCTCCTAATCTTTAGGAGATAAGGCAGATAAGTACTATTCTTTTATAATAATATATATGTAATACCCAAAAATTTCTAGAGCATTAAAGTGAGTTAGGGACCTAATTGTGAAGAAATATTATTAATGAACTTAATGGAAAAAAATTTTAAAGTTCAGGGATGAAAAAGAAAAGAAATTAGGATAAGGATCAGCTGATATTTTCATTCCTTTTCTTCCCAGCCATACACGTTTCTGCTCTGTCTTCTTCCCGACTCTTCTTCCCCGATAAGCCCCCCAAGCCACCGACTCTCTCCCCCTTGAAAAACCCGGTGAGATCTTGATGAAATTTCTCTTCTTTTCTTGTTAAATCACAAGATTTGGGGCTTAGAATCTTCCCTCTCAACCCAGAAAATCTCGGTTCTGCTCTGTTCTTCTCCCCTGTCCGCTGGCTGCTATGTGGGTGTGAGATTTTTGAGCTTTTCCTGGTAAGATCTAGCCATTAATCCCTCTCTTTAACCTTGATTTAGGCTGGGTTTGCCTTAATTGCTTTTATTTCCCTCAATTTTGAGGTAGCCCGTGAGCCCCTCTGCAGAAATGCCGCCGGCTTCTTCTCCCTGCCAGCTCCGGTTTGCTTGCTGGAATTCTGGTAAGTTGCCGGCTCTTCTAAGTCCAA